ACCCAGCTCCACTCCTGGTTCTAGCTTCCTGCTAAAGTCACCTGGGAGGCAGCAGGTATTGGTTCAATTAGTTGTGTCCCTGCCACCCTGTGACAAACCCAGATTGAGTTCCTGGCTCCTATTTTCCAGTTGACTCAGTTCCAACTATTGGAAGCATATGGGGAGTAAACCAGTGGATGGGGAATCTCTTTGTGTCTCTTTTATGTGTCTCCCTTTCAAAAAAATAAATAATTTATGTATTTTTTTAAAAAAAGGTAGGAAGTTTTTCCTCAAGCTTACCTCAACCATGGGAATTTGACTTTTACCTAATTTACATGTTAGGTTTCCCATAGGATTTTTTTTTTCTTAAAGATTCCACTGAAAAAAAATCAAAATTTGAACACTTCTAGTAAATAATTTATTCAATAAAATGCAATGGAGTGTTACTTCTCCAAAACGGACAATAGTCAGTGCTACATTCCCAAACTCTGGCTTCTCAGAAGTTATTCACATTCCTGCTCAGGAAACATGTAAATCACTCTATAATTACCTTGCAAGTAGAAGCTCAGATGTAAACTCTGAAGCTATCCAGGGCCTGTTGCAATAAAGAGTAAAAGATGTGTGTTCTTTGATGATCAACAGTGCTCCTTAATATATCAGTCTGTCATAACAGGAACCAACTTCCACTCTGATGTTTCAAACCAAGAGATTTCGTTGAAGAGACTGTTTACACAAGTTAGGGCTAGGGTTAGGGTTGGATGAAAGGAAACAAGAGGAATGTAGTGGTAGTCAGGCCCTTGTAGCAGCAGAAGCTGCTAGCGTGGCAAAGCCTACAGGAACAAAAGAAGGAAAGGAAATCACACTGGCAGGAGCCTTGGAGGGGCAAAGGCACTGTCAGAACTCTGCCAGAAGCGTGAAAAGAGTAGGAAGAAACACTCCAACAATTCTCCTCTTCCACCCCCGTGTGTACAACTGGCATCACCCACTGGTCAAGGACGGCTGGCAAGAGAGCCCCGAGAGAATCGGTTGTGAAAGTTTGCCCTTCTGAAGCAGTCTAGCAGAGGCAGATATGGGTCTGGCAGAGGGCAAGTAGAGGGCGCCCAGTACACTGTACCAGGGAAATATTGGGAACTCAGGTGTCCGATAGTAGGGGAAAGTTAACTAAATGATGGTATTAGCCATTTTGTGAGTAAGTAAATGGCGATGCTCCAAAGACCTTTATAAAATTAGGGAGCACAGGCCGGCACTGTGGCTCAATAGGCTAATCCTCCGCCTGTGGCGCCGGCACACCGGGTTCTAGTCCCAGTTGGGGCGCCGGATTCTGTCCCGGTTTCCCCTCTTCCAGGCCAGCTCTCTGCTGTGGCCAGGGAGTGCAGTGGAGGATGGCCCAGGTCCTTGGGCCCTGCACTGGCATGGGAGACCAGGAGAAGCACCTGGCTCCTGCCATCGGATCAGCGCGGTGCGCCGGCCGCAGCGGCCATTGGCGGGTGAACCAACGGCAAAGGAAAACCTTTCTCTCTCTCTCTCTCACTATCCAGTCTGCCTGTCCAAAAAAAAAAAAAAAAAAAAAAAAATAGGGAGCACAAAAGAGGGAGCCACCAACTTCTATCTGAAAGAAAAGATTCAGGGAAGACCCTCTCAAACTCACTGCTCAAGTGCTTTGTTGTTTCTTGTGTTTTTGCTTTTTACAAAAACTACACACATTCAGTATAAGAAATACACATACACAGTCCCGGTCGGGGCGCCGGATTCTGTCCCGGTTGCCCCTCTTCCAGGCCAGCCCTCTGCTGTGGCCAGGGAGTGCAGTGGAGGATGGCCCAGGTGCTTGGGCCCTGCACCCCATGGGAGACCAGGAAAAGCACCTGGCTCCTGGCTCCTGCCATCGGATCAGTGCGGTGCGCCGGCCGCAGCGCGCTGGCTGCGGCGGCCATTGGAGGGTGAACCAACGGCAAAGGAAGACCTTTCTCTCTGTCTCTCTCTCTCACTGTCCACTCTGCCTGTCAAAAAAAAAAAGAAATAAAAAAAAAAAAGAAATACACATACACATATGAAAAGCCAAATAGTGAATCCACATCCCCTCTTCCTGCTATCCCCAGACCACTATAGACACTGTGTTTATATCTTTCCAGATTTTTTCTATGCATATGATGATTATGTTGTATGTGGGATCACATCATAGCTATTCTTCAGTAAACTATTTCCTACTTAATCATAAATACTATTTCATGCAATAAATATCCATGTGCAACATTAAAAATATTTTAAATGATTTTTAAAAAGTGTGTTCTTGTATTTGGTTGTGAATAATTTCTATTCTCATTTATTTAGTTTGGATTCTCTTTTGGCCATTGCCAAATGCGGGGTGATGAACTTTCTTGGAGTGTACTCTTTGCAAACATTACTGCCCTCTGGCTGATTTCAGACCACTGCCTCTTTTTGAACAGTCCTCAAGCCAACAGTTTCTACATTTTTAGTTGTCTTTTTTTTTTTTTAAGCACAACCAGAAAAGGAAAAACAGCAATAGAGTTATATGTGACTTTCAAAGCCTCAAATATTTACTATCTGGCCTTTAATAGAAAATGTTTGTCAACGCCTATAACAGAGCATGTCTGTGTTATAAATTCTCAGAAATGTAATTTTTGAGCCAAAGGGTGTGAACATTTTTTGAGGGCTTTTTTTTTTTTTTTTTTTTTTTGATTACTTTCTGCTAAATTGCCTTCTAGAATCTGAGCCAATTTCTGTCCTCTTCAGTAATGCATGAGCTTGGCCATTTGTCACACATCCTACTGGCACCAATCACTAGCTCTAAGTATTATTTTATTCTCAGCCAATTTGATGGTGTGTTGTTGTTTTAAATTTTCGCTTCTGTCTGAAATGTTTGTCCATTTACATTTCTCTTTCATGACTTAGCTGATTTACATTTTGGTGCAATGTTTTGGAACAGAATGTCTTTATTTTCCTTGTAAAACCCCTCCATTAACAAGACCTCTTATCTTTCATGTATGTTGTGAATTTTGACAATTTTTACATGTCTTTTAATTTTATTCTATGAGGGTTTTTTAGACAAAAGGAGTTAATGAAACAATCAGATCTGTCACTTTTGTAACTTCAGCCTTTGTCCCATGCTAACTTTGAGATGCTTGCCTTTTTAAGGCTTCAAGAAATTTAAAATATTTTAATACCACTCAAATTTAGTTTTGTGAAGTTTTCAAATGATGAATAGGTAATATTATGTGACTCCTAGAGTCAAATTGCTAGGTTCAAATTTAGCCTCCCCACATACCACATATTTAAATAAGTTACTTAACTTGCTGCATCTCTGATTTGCTTCTCAAGGGTAGATAACAGCCACCAGCCCTGTGGCCCAGTGTGTGAAGCTTCCCCCTGCAATGCCAGCATCCCACGCAGGCGCCGGTTCGTGTCCCCACTGCTCCATTTCCAATCCATCCCTCAGCTAATGCACCTGGGAAAGTGGCAGAGGATGACCCAGGTACTTGAGCCCCTGCTACTCAAGTGGGAGACCTGGAAAAAGCTCCTGGCTTTGGCTTGGCCCGGCCCCAGGCTAACGGGGCCATGGGGAAGGGGCGTGAACCAACAAATGGAAAATTTCTCTCTGTCTCTTCTTCCCTCTGTAGCTCTGAGTTTCAAATAAATAAATAAATCTTTCAAAATAAAATTGAAAAAAAATATATAGTTAATAGTAATACCTACCATAGGGTTGGTGAAAGAAATAACAGTGCCATTCGTTGTTATAATTATAGCTGTAACACAGTGATCCAGGCAAAAGCAACAGCATGCCAGTATGCAAAGGTATGAAACCAGTTTCCGCATTTAGCAAACCAGATGAGCTGCGGTATTATGGTGTGTAGAGCTTGAGCCACAGGCTTGACAGAAGGGAGGGGACCATGGGCCTTGAATGCCAGCCCCCGAGCGTGCTCTTAAAAGTGACTAGAGACCCCAAGCCACTGAAAGCTTTTAAGCAAGCAAGAAAACCACTGAGTTGTGTGATTCCGGATAACCTTCCTAGTAAGTAACTAGAAAATGGAGTGGATTCAAATCGCCTGCCACCCACCTCTCCCCAAACTCCTGCTCTGTAGAGGCAAATTCTTTCACTTTTTCTTCTGGCACATGTCTCGTCACTCCTAAATGCCATGTTCAAACAATTTCTTACGTTTGCCCACATAGATATGACTATGACACTAATTAACGATGGCAATGAGCTGGACCCAAGGAACCTTGAGAGGATAGGTCTAAGAGATGAAGGTAGACTCAACTGGGCTTGCTACTCCGAGACATCCGGGGAGGGCGGCCGGGAGAAGCAACTGAGTTTGAGACCACAGGAGTAGGTGGGGAACGGAAAGATGGGCTCAGTGGGAAAGCCATCAAGTTTGAAGCACCGTTTTCTGGAGTGTGAGTATTGCCCCAGACTCCTGCCTCTTCAGATACCTGAGGCCCAAGGCTTGACTGCAGATTAAAAACCTGGCGGGCTGGCGCTATACTGCAGAGTTCACCCATCCGTGCTGAGTGCCAGGGAGCGAGTGACAGGTACGCAGTGTCAGCTCTTCGCAGCCCTCAGGGCGGGTGGAAAGGCCTGCTCGCCCGCTGCAGGGGCGGCTCTTCTCTCTCAGACCTTGTGGTGCAAGTCCTCCCGGCTCTGGGGTGAGGGGAGCTGCTTTAGAAGACCCCCGCCCTGCGCTCACAAGCAACACCAGCCTGCAGGGCCAGCTTGCGGCCCCTTCCCCTCAAAAGCGTTATGCTTCCCCCTCCTCGTCCCGTCTACTACTCAAAACGACCCTTGAGCTGCACCGAGGGCCACAGCTGACAGGGCTGAAGCGACATGAGTTCCCTACCCACGAGGTGCTTCCTGTGTGGGTGGCCCTGGCGCACGCCTTATAAGGCGAGCGCCCAGGAGACACCGCTACAGCTTGGTGAACAGCCAACCACCACCCTTGATTTGTCTATCAGAACAATGGGCAGGAAGTCCACCTTCGCAGCTGCCAACCTGTCTGTCAAACCCATAAGCCCCCAAACAGGGCGGAGGAGCGGGGCGGGAGGACTTCAAAAGCGGGTTTGCCGGCCGCCACCAGGAAAACAGCAGACGCGGTGCGGGTGGGCGGGCCGCCCCCTCTGGGTCGCCGCGCTGGCCCTGTGACGTCGCGGGCGGCCGGCTCCGGCGGGCGTGGGATGCCTCGCGGCGTCACCGCTCCGCTCCACGCCGTGCCGCGCCGCCCGTGGGAGAGCGAGGAGCGGCCACCCCGCCGCTGCAGAGCCCGGCGCTCCGAGCCCGAGCCGGGCCGCGCGTCCCCGGGCTTCGCCTTCCCCTCCCGTGACCTCGGCCTCCTCCCCGCCCTTCGCCCGCGGGCCGAGCCTGCGGCCAGGCGCCCGGCGCCCCTCTCCGAGCCTCCCGCGGCCGCGGCCCCGGCCACCTCCTCCTTTCCTCCTCCCTCTCTCCTCCCCCGCCTCTTCCGTTTCTCGAGGGAAAGCTGCAGCCTCCTCCTGGGCTCCGCATCCCCGGCTGAGGGCTGACGCTGCCCCGCGGACGCGGCCGTCCTCGCCGTGGCCTGGGTCCCCCGGCTGCGTGAGCGGCGCGCGCGCCATCGCCTCTCCGTGCGCCAGGTGAGTAGATCCCGGCCCGGAGGCCCCTGCCGCCGCGTCCCGGCCTGCGAGGTCCCCCCGGGTTCCTGCAGCCAGGCTGTCCCCGGCCGGGCCCGGCCCTGCCCACCCAGACATCTCCGCCGCAGCCCGCCGGCCGGAGGAGCTCGCAGCCGGCTCGGCCGCCTCGGCTTTGCAGAAGCACTCGGGAAAGAAATCAGAGGTGGAAAGAAAAGAGTAGCAGCGACAACTTAAACATAATGTTAATAAATAATACAGTCATCAGCATTTCTAGGTGGAAGAAGCCGAACGACGGCTGTGAAGAGCGGTGGCCCGGGTTCCACAGGTAGATGGCGCAGCCGGCTGGTGCCCCCCTGGGCCCTGAGAGATGCGGCGGCTGCCCCGGTGCCCTGCTCGACGAGTGTCAGATCCACTCCAGGGCACGCGTGGCCTCCTGGCTGCTGATCCTCTGTGCATTTGTTCTGAAAGGCTGTTCTGTAAGATGTGCACAGTCATAGATGGTGTGGCTTGAGTAGTAAGTAACTGGTGGGGAAAACATTTCATTATTACAAAGTAATCATGCAGACTGTTAGACAAGAAGAACGTGACAGAAAACCTCTAGATTATTTAGTCAGCCTGTGAAAAACATTTACGAGCAGCCAGGGTGTTTTTTGGGCGAGTTCCAGTTTTAAGGTGTGGAGTAAGCAGGCATGTCCGCTGCAGAGGAACTATACTTCAAGGCTGTGTGGACAGATGACCTAAGTGCATCCCCTGTGTTGAATACAACACTTTTTGGTCCTTTCTCTTTGATTCCTAGCTTTGAAAGCAGACGTTGATAAGCAGCAGCACTGCTCCGCCTCACAATAGTGTAATAACCCGCTGAACTACTACCGACTGGTAGATTAGCTAAGTCGTCTCATCCTTACCCTTTAAAATAGGGAGAAAATAAAGGCAATGGGAGAGTTTGTTTTTGAACAGATATTGTTTACATTCTTGTTTAGATTCTACTTTATTGTTTAGTTTGTGGATTTTTAGATTATTTTTAAGTTCTTAATCATTAAGAAGATGTAGAATACATAAACTACGCTTGTAGAATAAGCTACCACTTGTTGCCAAGCCTTTGGAACAAACTACCGCTTGTTTGGCAATTGCAGCTTAGACTCAAGCCCTTTAATGTGTAATATCTCATTACAGATTTAAATTATAGCCGTACTCAGGGTAGTCCTGAAAAACGGAAAAGGAGGGACCCGTGTTTAGCCTAGCTCTTGACCCCTATTAAGATGCCCAAGTCTCATATCAGAGTGTCTGGGTTGGATTCCTGGCTCCAACCCCTGACTCCAGCTTCCTGCCTAGGCAGACCTTCGGAAGCACCAACCAAGACTCAAGGGATTGGTTTCCTGCCACCCACGTGGGAGACCTGAATCGCATTCCCTGCTCCCAGCTTCCTCCCAGCACAGTCCTGGCCCTTCGGGATTGAATCATGGGTAAAAGCATGATTCTCTCTCTCTCTAATGAAAAAAAATTAAATTTATAACAAGGAAAAGAGGAAATGTATTTGATGTGGAAGGCCCAAAAGCAAAAGTTATTGAGATAATTCATTATATGTATTTCATTATATGTATAACATAAAATGATTAATAAAGACAATTGAATATTGAGGATATTGTACATGAGAAATTTGAGTCCTTATAATATGAGGTCCTTATATGAGTCCTTATAAATGGCCTCTTTGAATCTTGTAATGAAGCTAAATTTATGTTTTTGCTTGGCTTAGAGCTTAGAAATAGAAGTTTTGCTTCTTATCTCTCATGCTTAGTGTAGTGTTTCCCAAACTTGTCTGGCTTTTATCTAGGATGATGGGCAAAAGGGGAGATAATAATGGTTTTAAAAGTTTCCCAGGGGCAGGCCTTTGGTCTGCAGTTAATATGCCAGTTAGGATGACCGTGTCGGAGAACAGAATATCTGAGTTTGATTCCTGACTCTACCTTCCCACTAACGTGGATCCTGGGAGGCAGTGGTGATGGTGATGGCTGTGGGTTTCTGTCACCTGTGTGAGAGACTTGGATTGAGTTACTGATTCCTTCAGTGTAGCCCTGTCCTGGGCTACAGGGGAGTAGTGTCTGTGGGCATCAGGGGAGAGAACCTTCAATGGGAGCTCATTCTCTGTCTCTCACTGTATCTCAAAAAAAAAAAAAGAAAAAAAGAAGAAAAGAAAGAGAGAGAGAGAGAAAGAAAGAAACAAAGAAAGAAAAGAAAAAGATTCTTGGGTTGCAGTTTAGGAATTCCCAAATCAGAATTTCTGAGGGAAAGGAGGAGATACTTAAAATAGAAAATATTACATTTTAAAAGATAAACCAGGGTGCCAGCGCTGTGGCATAGCAGGTTAAGATGGCGAAGTGCCGACATCCCACACTGGCACCAGTTCAAGTCCCGGCTGTTCCACTTCTGATCCAGCTCCCTGCTAATGTGCCTGGGAAATCTGTGGAAGATGGCCCAAGTATTTGGGAGATCTACACTCACATGGGAGACCTGGAAGAGGCTCCTGGCTCCTAGCTTCGGATTGGCTCAGCTCTGCCATTGCGGCTATTTGGGGAGTGAGGAGAGTGATTGGGGAGTGAACCAGTGGATAGAAGATCTCTTTCTCTGACTCTCCTCCTACCCCCTGTAACTCTTTCAGATAAATAAATATGTCTTTAAAAAAAAGATAAACCAAAAGAAAAAAAATAGGCAAGTTTGGGAAACACAAATGGGAAATGACTGCTGCTAGAGTGAATAGCTAACATAACCTTGTAGGATTCCTATACATTAAATGTTCTTAAATGAAAGATACGCAAGTATGCACATTTGAGTAACATAGCTTTTATTAAAATGATTTCCCCAATCCCACCCAAAACCAGATTTTCCTTGGCAGTAAAACATGGCCCATTATGTACAAAACAAATAAACAAAATAGAGTATTAGACATCTATAAAATAATTCACTAGGTAGATTAATTGCCATACTGCTAAGTGTCAGAATTAAATTTTTTCCTCTCTTTATATTCCTTTTCTTTCTCTCTTTTTCATGGGGTTGTTTGTTTTTTTAAATCAGCTAAATATTTAAAATCTGCTAAATTAATTGTCCAACTTTAAATTAATTTAAATGCTGCAAACTTTACCAATATATACTGAAACTTGTGCTTTGCTTTGGCATGACAATGGTATGCTTCTCTCAATGCAAATGAAAATTATAATCAGAGTGCCTGGGTTCCATATCCCATTCTGGCTTCTCTCTCCAGCTTCCTGCTGATGTGCACGGTGGGAGGCAGCAGATGATGGCTCAAGTAGCTGGGTCCCTGCCTCCCACACAGGAGACCTGAATTGAGTTCCTGGCTCCTGGCTTCAATCCAGCCCAGCCCTGGCTGTTGTGGGCATTTGGGAAGTGAACCAGCAGAAGATAATTCTCTGTCTCTCTCTCTAATTAATTAATAGTTTTAAAAGAGTGTTATAATTAATATCAAAAGAATTAAAGTCAAATGACCAAAGGAAATTTTTCCTTTTTGTTTTTTCTTGTTCTTTTTAAGATGTGATTATTTGAAAGGCAGAGTTACAGAGGCAGAGGCAGAGAGAGAGAGGTCTCTGTTCACTGGTTCTCTCCCCAAATGGCCGCAACTGCCAGAGCTGGGCCGATCCGAAGCCAGGAGTCAGGAGCTTCTTACAGGTCTCCAAGTGGGTTCAGGGACCCAACGACTTGTGCCATCTTCTACTGCTTTCCCAGGCCACAGCAGAGAGCTGGATCAGAAGTGGAACAGTCAGGACTCGAACCAGCGCCCATATGGGATCGAAGCACTGCAGATGGCAGCTTTACCCACAATGCCACAGCACCGGCCCGTTTTGTTGTTTTCATAGTTGTTCTTTGGGTAGGCTTTCTTTACCAAGTTGAAGAAGCTCTCCTCTATTCTTTTTTTTTTTTTTGAGAACTTTTAAAAACTTTTTAATTTTTAACTGGTATATGACAATTGTACATATTTATGGGATACCATGTGCTATCTTGATACATGTATATTTTATGCAATGTTCAATTCAGGGTAAACCTAGCTACCCCCTCAAATATTCATCATCTCTTTTTGGTGAAAACATGCAGAATCCTCCCTTCTAGCTTAAACACACACACACTGTACAATATCGTTATCTATAGTCACCTTACTGCACCTACAGCACTAGGACTTCTTGCCCTATCCAGTTATAACTTAGTGCCTATTACTCAACCTTTGCCCTTCCCTCTCCCCTCCCCACCACTCCCCCTAGCCTCTAGTAATCTACTCTCAACGTCTATGACACTGGTGTTCTTTTAATATTAAAGAAAACACAGCTTAGTTAAAGTGATGCATAATTCTTCATTATCAGCAACTTTTTAAATGAGGATTTGATCTTCCCAGTCCTGGGGAAACCATCTGGTTAAATCCTGGGAATTTGCAATAATCATGTGCAATTTCAGTTTGATCTGGGAATAATTAAAGTTCTGTGTTTAAAACACGGCTGATTATAAGCTTCATGAATAGCAAAGGGGGAATAAAGAATCAAGATCAAGAATCAGATCAAGAAAATAAATATTAACCAGCTCAGACATTTATCTACGGTTGCAGGGTCAGCAAGAATGCAAGATATTTAGTATATTTCTATGTTAGTGTGGCTTTAATGAGATATTTGTATCTTTTTAGTACTTTGAACTTTTTCATTCCAATAAAGCTTCTATAAATATTCTGTGTTCTTTTAAAGGAAAGTGTTGTATTCACTATTCCATACTGCTCTGTTAAACATTTGGTAGCTATCTGTTAAAAATAAATATTTGCTCTACAAAGTAGAAGAGTAAATAGAATACCAAGAGATATGCAGTATCCCCAGCCTGCTGACATGATACACATAACATGGTCTATGACCTCTGCTTTTTACCATAACATTCAGGGGATGCATTTTAGATCAAGTAAATTTGTCATTGCAGAAGTAAGTGGTAATAATCATCTGCTAGAAACCTCTGTTAAAAAAAAAAAAAAAAAACCCTCCTTCAAATCATGTAATCATGTTTTCTAGCAGTTGCTATATTCCTGAAATGCATGTCAGGAATAATCCTTAGCAGATTAATTTTGGTGCAAGAAAACCCCTTTAACATGTTCATCTCTGATACAATGAAAATGATCCAGTTTTTAGAACTGCACCTGTGCGGCACCGGGAGCTGGAATGTGTCCCAGGCACTCAGGTACCTACAGCCTCAGGAGAGAGAACGTGGTGACCCAAAGGTGACTCAGTGGGGAGCGTGAGCCCCTCCTCCTCACGTGTGTTACCCCCTTGGCCTGTACACAAACCATAGTATATAAGCATACAATCTAGGAACTAAAACCAATGTGATTGCTGTGCAAACTCCACCTCAAGACGAGGAGTCTAGTGCCTTTATTTCAATTTAATTTTCGTAACCTTACCCCAGCCTCCTCTTTTGTTCGTTTATCCAGCATATATTTGTTTCTCCCTTATGAAGCAGATGATAAAGGCCAAATGCTTTTGAAATGTGCATTTCTTTAAAACTTGTAATTTTTAAACTAAAAAATATTAAACATTGTGCAAAATAGGTGCGATATCACATTTACTATTTTAATCATTTTCAAGTGTACATTTCAGTGGCATTGTTGTATAATTGTTACCACCATCCTTCTTGAAAATGTTTTCATCCTCGCACATCAAAACTCTACACATTAAACAGCAACTCCCACTACCCTCTCCTCCAGCCCCAGTAACCATCATTCTGCTTTCCATGTCTCTGAGTTTGACTAGAGTACCTCATATAAATGGAATCAAAATATTTGTCCTTTTGAGTCTGGCTGATTCTACCTGGCATAAAGTCTTCAAGAGTCATCCATGTTAGAGAGTGTGTCAAAATTTCACTTTAGGCCGGCGCCACGGTTCACTAGGCTAATCCTCCGCCTGCGGCACCGGCACACCGAGTTCTAGTCCCGGTCGGGGCGCTGGATTCTGTTCTGGTTGCCCCTCTTCCAGGCCAGCTCTCTGCTGTGGCCAGGGAGTGCAGTGGAGGATGGCCCAAGTCCTTGGGCCCTGCACCCCATGGGAGACCAGGAGAAGAACCTGGCTCCTGGCTTCAGATCAGCGCGGTGTGCCGGCCGCGGCGGCCATTGGAGGGTGAACCAACGGCAAAAGGAAGACCTTTCTCTCTGTCTCTCTCTCTCACTGTCCACTCTGCCTGTCAAAAAAAAAAAAAATTCACCTTAAATTTTTTTAAGCTTTATTATTATTTGAAAGGCAGAGTTACAGAGAAGCAAAGGGAGAGAGAGAGAGAGAGAGGTCTTCCATCTGCTGGTTCACTCCCCAGATGGCTGCAATGGCCAGAACTGGGCTGATTGGAAGCCAGGAGCCAGGAGCTTCTTCTGGGTCTCCCACACGGGTTCAGAGGCCCAAGGATTTGGACCATCTTCCACTGCTTTTCCAGGCGCATTAGCAAGGAGCTGGATCAGAAGTGGAGCAACCAGGAGTGGAACCTTATGGGATGCCAGCAGCGGCCTTACTCGCTACAGTACAGCACCAGCCCCAAAATTTCACACCTTTTAAAGGCTGAATAATCCTCAACTTCTTTTATATGGAAAGCAGATTTTAAAACAAGGAATTAAAAATTTTTTTAAAGGCAGAGTGACAAAGAGGGAGAAACAGAGATATTCCATTTGCTGATTCACTTCCCAAATGGCTGCAACAGCCAGGGCTGGGCCAGACCAAAGCCAGGAACCAGGAAACCTATCTGGGTCTCCCACATAGGCGTTAGGGACTTAATTACCTGCTTCCCAAGCACATTATAAGGAAGCTAGATCAGAAGCCAAGTAGCCTGGGCTTAAACTGGCGCTCAGATACGGGCTGCAGGCATCCCAAGTGGCAGCATAATCTGCTGTGCCACCATGCCCGCCCAAAGCACAAGTTTCAGATGGGATCCTGTCGTACAAACCATCCCATCCAACTTGTCTTTTCTTTCTTCTTTATGTTTACAGAATTGAGGAAAACAAGTCCCTGAGAGCTTAAGTCATGTGGCCAAGGTTATACTCCTGGTTAGTTAATGGCAAAGCCAAGCCTAAAAACCAGCTCTGTGACCTAAAAAAGAGCTCTTTCTACCACACCACCCTGTGGTCTCTGTAGACAATAAAAGGCAAGTGTTCAAAAGTAGTGTCTCTCGTCAGTGTTGTGAGAGTTCAGAAGGAAAGATAAATTAACCTGGGAATCTTCCCTAATAACTGAGAAATGTCACATTACAAATGCAACATTCAAAATACACTTGAGGATGAGTGAGGCTACATTCTGATTAACGGTGATCAAAACTATAAATAACACTCCACTGGGAAAGATTCTTTCTACAGGCAAGCATCTTGTCTCTTTTGCTGCCTTGAATTATGCATTAAGCATGCATTTTTAAAAATATTCATTCTCTCCTATAGTTAAGATAGTCACACTAAAATTGATTTATTTTTTATATTCTATCTGATTTCATATTTCATTTGTGACACCACAGTTGCTCTAAAAACATCTCTTAGCACACAAAAGTTTAAGCACAGAGCTGGAACATAGCAGATAGAAACGCTCTAAATAAATAGAGGATCTATATAGAAAATGCTCTTAATCTTAACTCCATAAAGAGGATAAAAAAGGTCACTAACAAGCTTAAAAGTATTTCTAAATGGAATACTTGTTTCATAATTTTCAGATGAGTTCTGGGAAGTCTTTAATATGCATTCTTTACTCCAGATTTATGCTAATATGGAATACTTACTATGTAGGTCAACTTGCATTTTTTCTAGCATTTAGTTTTTGTTACTACAAGGCAGTATCACTCTTAGCCTAACAAGGCTCCTAGGTAATTGGTGAAGGGCAGAGCCTGTTGTTAGCCCATTCCTTAAATTTGCAGATGAAAGTTGGCCAAGGGAGTTCCCATTTTCTCAGCCCAGACTTATTGAATCAGTATCTCCAGGGGAAGAGGCCAAAAATCTACCTTTTAAAAAAAAAAAAAAAACAAGCAAAACAATCAGATTTACTTTTTATTTGTTTGAAAGTTAGAGTTACAGACAGGGAGACAGAGCAGGAGAGAGAGCAATGTTCTGTCCTCTGGTTTGCTTTCCAAATGGCCATAGGAGCCCGAGTCTCCCACTTTGGTGCAGGGGCCCAAGCACTTGGGCCATCTTCCACTGCTTTCCCAGGCATATTAGCAGGAAGCTGGATCAGAAGTGGAGCAGCCAGGACTGGAACTGGAACCCATATAGGATTCTGGCATTACAGGCAGCAGCTTAACTTGTTGTTAATGCCACAATGCTGCCCTCTAAAAATCTATGTTCTTAAGAAGCGCCTCAGTTAATTTTTGATCTTACTGATTTGGAAAACACTATTTTAGCACACGCTCCTGTTTATAAGCTACCAGAACAATATTTAAAACAAGGGACATCTTTCTGACCTATTGTTTTGGGGAGCTTTGGTAAGCAAATATGTGCATTAATGTGATGCATTAGTGTCCTGAATCTAGCTAGTGTGAGTTAGATAACCAGCTTAGAAAAGAGCTGAATAGGGGCCAGTGCTGTGGCATAGTGGGTTAAGCCACCACCTGCAACACCAGTATCCAGTATGGGTGCCGGTTTGAGTTCTGGCTGCTCCGCTTCCAATCCAGCTCCCTGCTAATGTGCCTGATAAAGCAGTAGAAGGTGGCCCATGTCTCTGGGCCCCTGCATCCATGTGGGAGACCAGGAAGAAGCTCCAGGCTCCTGGCTTTGGTCCATCATGGTGCTGGCTGTTGTAGCCACTGGAGTGAACCAGTGGATGAAAGATTCTCTCTCTCTCTCTCTTCCTCTATCTATCTGTAACTCCACCTTTCAAATAAATAAAAAAAATATTAAAAAGAAAAAGGAAAAGATAAAAGAAAGGACCTGGGTGGTAACACAATTTGAAGGTTAGAGGGAAAGGAGGAATATTAGGGTTAAATAGGTGGATTTACATAGCCTATATTTAATGTCATTTCTAACAAAATCAAATTAAATTTGCTATTTGGGGTAAGTTAATTAACAAAATTAATCTTTTCAGGGAAGGGTCACCTCTAGATGAATATAATTTCAGATTCTTATTTGGTGCTCAAAAAATGTGGTTCAGTTGCCAGCCACCCAGATACATCTGTGCTTCATTTTTCTAAATGAATACAGAATATATGTAGACTTTTATATAAATAAATATGAGTCCATGTGCCTAACAGCACCTAGGTACTGCTGATAAAATAAACAGCATGCCAAGAGTGAATTCTGTATTTACAAAGCTCAGAGGAAGCTCATCAGCCAACACTTATTGAACACCTCTGAAGTATGCCTGAGAGTCATAAGAAACCACACTCATTTAAATCTCTTGCCAGACAGAGCATAGATAAGTAAACCTATATATAGTGTGTTGGAGAGCCGGAATGAAGGTTTGGCCTGTCTCCACGCACCCAGGGCCCAAGTGCCTCAGACAAAGGAATGGCTCCTGCAGCCAACAGTTGAGCTGACTCTTTTCCTCCACCGATGCATTTTTGTTTTAAGTAAAACAAAAACCTGTTTTTATTAAAATATAAATACATATATATAAGCATGGAACTTCTCAGTGTTAGTGAGTTGCCGTCAAACCACCCATGTAGCTAAGCCATCCACCAGAAGTGTGAACTTTACCAGTTTCTAAACCACCAACAACCCCTCTTTCTCCTCCAGTGGTAACCACACTGTGACTTCTAACACCTGATTCATTTTGGCCTGTTTTAGAGTTTTGAGTAAATTAAATTGCATGGTCTGTATCTTTGGTGTCTGACTTCTTTAGTTTGATGGTATATTTTTGTGAGATGCATCCAAGTTGTTGCCTAGTGCCATAGCTCATTCATTTTTTTTTCTTTTAAAGATTTATTTTACTTATTTGAAAGGCAGAGTTATAAGAAACAAAGACAGAAAGAGAGAGAGAGAGAGAGAGAGGTCTTCCATCCACTGGTTCACTCCCCAGATGGCTGCAATGGCTGGAGTTGCACCTATCCGAAGCCAGGAGCCAGGAGCGTCTTCTGAGTCTCCCATGCAGGTGCAGGGGACTAAGGACTTGGGCCATCTTCTACTCAAAGAGCTGGTTCAGAAGTGGAGCTGCCGGCCGGCGCTGTGGCTCACTAGGCTAATCCTCCACCTGTAGCGCCGGTACTCCGGGTTCTAGTCCCAGCTGGGGTGCAGGATTCTGTCCCAGTTGCTCCTCTTCCAGTCCAGCTCTCTGCTGTGGCCCCGGAAGGCAGTGGAGGATGGCCCAAGTGCTTGGGCCCTGCACCCGCCATTTGTGGGGTGAACCAATGGAAGGAAGACCTTTCTTTCTGTCTCTCTTTCTCACTGGAGCTGTCGAGACTCGAACCGGCACCCATATGGGATGCCAGAACTGCAGGCGACAGCTTTACCTGCTGTGCCACAGCGCCAGCCCTGCTCACTTTTGTTTTTACTGCTGTATAGTATTTTGTTATGTGAATATTCTGTAGTTTATTATATTTTATTATTGATGGTTGTTTGGATTATTACCAGTGTTAGATCATTATAATACTACTGCTGCTCATAAATATTCTTGAATATGTCCTTTAACCCATATATGCATAAATTTCTGTTAAGTATATGTCTAGAAAAGAAATTGCTAGGTCACTGGTTATACTTATATTCAACAAACTACAAGTAATTTTCTTCCAAAATGGTTGTACCAATTTTACTCTTGCCAGCAGCATGTAAGAGTCTCCATCACTCCATATCTACACCAAAACTTGAAATTTTCAGTCTTATTAATTTTGGCAATTCTACTGGGCAGGTATTAGTGTCCTATTGAGATTTTCAGACTGCAGGCAGTCCTATGGTATAATATTTTTTGGATCCCGAGCAATGTTTGATGGCGAGTATCTGAGTGTTGAATGAGGCTTATCCACTGCAGGAACACCTGAGTTTCCAGTGAGCCAACAAGTCATATTGCAAGTCCCTTGTGATGCTTTGTAGTACAGTTTCCCTCTGGTCAGGGTCACCAGGCGGGCAATGAATGTCTCATAGAGATACCAGAAGGTTACTGTCTGCAAGGTGCAGAACAAATTGGCATTCCTGCTATTCTTTGTGTATATCCCTTCTGCCAGGACAGCCTCCAGTCTCTCTCTCCCCCCTAAGGCAACCCTAGGTGTAGAGCAAAGGAGAGGTGCCACAAAGCCTGTTTCCCCTACAGCCACAGTCCCAGCTAAACTGAGCCTTGGACACCTCCTTATTGTGTCCATTTAGTGAGATGCCTGGACAGCTCTGGACCTTTGCCGGAAAACACCCAGGTACTTTATGGAACCTGGGCCTCCCCATCCCCCGCCCCTTGCAGTCCTATCAGGCAGGGCCACTGCATAGTGGCTTCTAGTGGCCATTCCTGAGGATGAGTGAAAGACTGAATTGAGGAAGTGATGGTGGGCGGGGTGGAGTCCATGTAGAATGGACAAAAAGGTGGGCTGTGCAGAAGTTTCCCATGAGCTGCCAGGAGAAGGGGATGTCAGCTGTCCATCGGAGAGCGTTTCTGTTTAGTTGCCGCTGCTCGCCGTCATCGCACCTCTTTCCCTGCGGACAAAAAAGGATATGGTCAGCTTCCGCTGCTACCTGCTCTTCCCACGAGAGTGGACGCCCCTGGCCCCAGACTCCTCACCACATTTCCTGAGAAAACATCCCCCTTGATAGAACCCTCCTGCGAGCCTCCAGCGGAGGTCTGCCAGGAAGCCAGGGTGGTCTCACGCCTCCAGCAGCCATGGTTTTCAGGCCCATGCCCAGAACCGGAAGCAGTGTGACCTGGCCTACATAGAGGAACTTTATTCTGGGTTGTTCAGAGAATGACAAGTAGTTCCCAGGCTTCAGGATTTAATGGACTAGCAACTTTTCAGAAAAGATTTCAGTGACCCATATAAACTTGCCAGCCGCCTCTGTTTTTTCCAGTAAAAACATGTGACTGGTTTCCATGGGGTTCTATTTAGTAGTCCTAGTTGTCATCTGTTATCTGCTATGTGTAAGGCTCTGCTCTAGCACCTGTTCAAAAACATCTCGTTTTGATCTTCACCACATCACTGCCAAATATTCTTATTACAGGTGACAAGAGAGGCTCAGAGAGGGTAATACATTACCTGATGCCACACAGCTAATTGTTGGCAGAGTCAGATTTTGAACCCGGTTCTATAGGACTCTAAATCCTCTCTTTCCACTGTACTGTTTATCACATCTGCAATAGATGTGCAGATTATTCAGATACAGTTTTTAAACCCCTCGTATTCTGATGAGATGATAGACTAGCGAGAAATTAAGGTTTGTTTTCTTTTTCTTTGTAGAGAGGTTTTGTTTTTTTTTTCTTAACCTGCTTCAATTTTTCGTTATTTCTTCAATTAGACTTGAGTGTCTCACAAAAGCTAAAGCGATTCTAATTCGATGTGACATCATGACACAGCTCTCTGTCAAGGCGGAGATCGGGTTTGAGATGATGATCACGACACTTCCCCAAGCCCATCTGAACTGTGGGATGACTTTGGAATTGAACAGCTCCTACTCTGCCCGCTGGGTAACGACAGCTGCAGTCGCCAGCTCGTTCCTCACTGGTCAACTGGCCATGCTCAGAGCAGCGACTGCTCAGGTGGGGAAGAGAGATCACTGCTGAGAGTAAAGGTCAGCTCTAACAGGAGAAGCTCCAGGCCCCGGGGGCAGCTGTACGCAACTGTCAGGGAGAAGTTGATGAGCCCTGGATGGGGAAAAGGAGTGAGTGTGGTGCCCAGAGCTGGTATTCTTTCGGCACTGTTAGGAAAGTTCTTGGTTATGTGACAGTGTAGTTTAGGACACTTAAAAATTAAACGTAACAGAATTGACTACTTTGGACAATATTGTTATTATCCTGAAAACTCTCAAATTAGACTGCTCAAAAATCTGCTGCTTTTAAGATAAAAAGCTATTTAGAAATTATTGATTCACTAAGTCTTTTCCTTCACTTGTAATAAGTGCAGAGCATTTACTAAGAAGTAAAAAATATGGTTATTGCATTTATACTCTTGGGGCTCATATATTGTATTGAGACATGTATTCATCTGTATTATATATAGCTTGTAATTTGTGGTATATACATCATATACTATAAATTATTTCTAAACCAAGCGCCTCAGCTGTACTAAAATGTCGCTCCCCGTCTTCGTGGAGGAACGACACAGGACCCTGCGTTGTTCTTTCGTCTGCTCGGCCCTTCCCGGGTTTGCTGCTGGTTCTTCCCGGGTTGGCTACCGTCCCTTCCACCTCCGTGGAAGGGCAGTTCCCCCTGGCCACTTTCCCCACTTCCGCGGGGGAGCGGCACACCGCCGGCCGGCTCTCTCGGGGGCTGCACAGGTGTTCCTTCAGATAGATGTTCCTTTTAGATGTTCCTGGTGCATGTTGTCTCTCTCCTCCTTTATAGTCCTCTTCCACCAATCCCAACTCTGCTACCCACACGCCGAGTACGCTGCTCTCCTCCAATCAGGAGCAGGTCCTGCAGTTTATTGGTTGAACTGGAGGCAGCTGTGTAGAAGCTGTTTCCTCCTCTCCCAGCGCCATATTGTGGGAGAGCAGATGCATAGAATAAGTCTTAATTCCAGTAACTTAGTCTAGTCCGAGTTGCTCCCAGTTGCTCCCCACACTAAAAGCAGCTACTTTTCTTAATATTTATGTTGTCAACTAAAGTGAATTTTCCAAACATACTCATTCCTGAAAGAAAAGACATTTAAGTAAGCAGCTATTTTCTTTTAAAGATTTATTTTACTTATTTGAAAGACAGAGTTACAGAGTGAGGTAGAGCCAGAGAGAGAGAGAGAGAAAGAGAGAGAGAGAGGTCTTCCATTCCACTGGTTCACTCCTCAAGTGACTGCAATGGCCAGAGCTGAGCTGATCTGAAGCCAGGAGCCAAGAGCTTCTTCTGGGTCTCCCACACGGGTGCAGGGGCCCAAGGAGTTGGGCCATTTTCTACTGCTTTCCCAGGCCACAGCAGAGAGCTGGATTAAAAGAGGAGCAGCAAGGACTCAAACTGGCGCCGATATGGGATGCCAGCACTGCAGGCTTTAACCTACTGTGCCACAGCAATGGCCCCAGCTATTTTCAAGTTTTAGCTACATTCTCTTTACTATTTAAAAGTTTTTTGTGTTAGTATGGTAGTCCCAATTTCTTTGGCCTCATACTTCCAGGAGTTAAAGAATTCTGTCAGCGTAATTGTTCTAAGATATTTTAAGATGTCACTTCTTAGAAACATTATACATTTACTTTAGAGTACTTGAAAATTATAGAGAAGCCTAATTCAAAAAACCATCCACAATTTCACTACTCAGCATTAACTGCAATTAAAATGTCACCTGCTGGTCCCTTTCTAGACACAAACTGGTAATTTGGTAATAGGTCATTTTCCCCCTTTACCTTTTAGGATTAACATATTTCCCTATTCTTCAGAAACATGATTTTACTGTGTAGTATTCTTACATCTCACCAATATTTTTTTAAAGATTTATTTTATTTATTTGAAAGAGTTAGAGAGAGGTAGAGACAGAGAGAGAGGTCTCCCATCTGCTGGTTCACTCCCCAGATGGCCTCAATGGCCGGAGCTGTGCTGATCCAAAGCTAGGATCCAGGAGTTTCTTCCCAGTCTCCTACATGGATGCAGGGATCCAAAGACTCGGGCCATCTTCTACTGCTTTCCCAGGCCATAGCAGAGAGCTGGATCGGAAGAGGAGCAGCCGGAACTCAAACCGGCGCCCATATGGGATGCTGGCGCTTCAGGCCAGGGCTTTAACCTGCTGCGCCTCAGCGCCAGCCCCACCAATATTTAAAACTATTAAACTTTCTGCTACTATAAATAATATTATTCCTCCTTGTGAAGAAACATTTCAACTCAGTTTTGATTTTCTTTACACAAATTAGGAGTAAAAAGTCAACGGCACCCATAGATTCCTCGCTGGGAGACTGCCCTCCAGAAAGCTGCTTGTCTGCCGGCCATGAGCTGAGCGTGGGCACCTGTTTCACCCCACCTCCTCCCAGGAGGAACGCTAACATTAAAACACACCTAACAACAATAGAAGGTGGCTTGTTTTATTCGTTTTCCTTTCATTACGAATAAGGCTTGGCCTTTTTCCTCACAGTGGTTGACTTTAACATATTTTATAGCAAACATGTTTAAGACAAACCTACAATGATAATTCACCATTCGCTCCATTACATCAGCATCTTTATAGCTGGGTTAATTCTCAGCCTCCTGGAGCCCATTAAGGAAACTTGTTTTCACGAAGGAAACTGTTGATTAATGATAATAAATACGCCGGGCTTTGGTCCTGGCCAATGTGGAGCCCTGCGGTTTAGTCTTGTGTAACCCTGAAGAAGTTACTTAACCTCTGTTGGCTTCAGCTTCCTTTGCTGTAAAACAGGGCTGATCATCTTCAAGTGATTCGCACAAGAGAAGACACTCCAGCCTCCAAGTAGAGGTAGATTCTATTGTAAAATGAGAAGTGTTTCTCTCCAGTTGCAAAACAGATATCCCAGGCGAGGACAGGCTCAGAGGCCAGAACTTTGCAAGTCCTAACAAGTCACCATTTTCACCTTGTTTTATTGCCTTTACCTGCCAAGGGATTAGCGCAGTTAGCGGCACCTCTTTTTTCAGTGTGGGTGGAGAATTTGGCTGGGTGATTGGCCTCAGTCTTGCACACACAACAGTGCTTTCCTAGTCTGGTACTTGGTACTGTTAAAACAAGAAGGTTTTTGAGAAATTAAATCTAACAGAGTTATTTAAGCAGAACAAAACTGAATTGGGCAGCTCCCAGAACCACAGCAGGTTCTGAGAACTTCACTCAACAGTGTAATCAGACAGAATTTATAGGCAAAACTGAAGAGAAGCCTAGGAAATAACTGCCTACAGCCTAGTCAACCAGTCAACCGGTTAAAGCTTAAGTTGTTTAAAATACAATCAATGAACTGACTGCAAGGCCTTGTGCAGCCAGCCCAAGCTCAGTTACTGCAATTAATCTGTTGGTTTAGTTTATAGGGCCCAGTGCAGGCACCCAGTTCAAATTCATGGTCTCCCACAAATTTTGTTTAATGGCACTTTAGAAAGTTGCTCCAGATCTGCTGGAATGAACACCAAGGTCATTACAAGGACTTGGCTTTCCTTGTGTTTTGTGTCCACCTGCCCATCTAGGGATTTATAATGTAAATGACCAGGCTGAGTGCCAGATGGGTAGTTAGCAGCCCTGGAGGCACCCTGACATCACCGGCTGTACTGCTTTCTCTTTTGTGTTCTAGTACTTCTCCGGCTGACAGCCCAGTGGCTGGCTGCCGTTCCCACCAGGAGCTGGCATTGCAAAGGGAGGTTCAGAAATGTCCCAGATCCTCCGCGAGCTGCTCCGCGTCTCGGAGCGGGCTGCCAACATCGCCCGGGCGTGCAGGCAGCAGCAAGCGCTCTTTCAGCTGCTGATCGAAGAAAAGAAAGAGGGCGAAAAGAACAAGAAGTTCTCGGTTGACTTCAAGACCCTCGCTGATGTGCTGGTGCAGGAAGTGATAAAGCAGAATATGGAGAACAAGGTACGAAGGGCCCACCCAGGTGTTTGCCGAACGTTCGCCTCTGTGATTCCCCTCCCTGTTGGCCAGCCTGCCTCCCTTAGCTCCCCGACCCTGCATGGAACACTAGTGCCTCGGGTTCAAGTCAGCGTCAGAGGTTTTCCTCTCTTTCCTTTGGATTACAATATTAATAAAATATTCCTTGAGAAAATGTATACAATACAGAAAAGCAATAAGAAAATAAAAATCACTCCCAATTTTAACAGCTAGAGATAAAAACTTTGGTAGAGAAGCTTTTATTTACCAATGAGTTTCTTCTTCATAAATAAGTGTTCCCTGGAAAATAAGAAAAAAACCAAGGACCCTCTTAATCCCATCACTAGACAAAACCACCACTATGTTTTCTAAATATTGTTAGACTGTTTTTCTTTTGTGTGTATGTATGTGTGTGCATGACTTGTAAAATGTATTTCAATAGAAATGAGGGCACACTGTTTTGTAACCTTTTTGTTTGTTTGTTAAGCTTTGATACATTAAGTGCCACCTTTTGGACTTACTTGTTTAATGTTTGCCTCAGTTATGGGCTTGTAACTGGAGACTTAAAGTCTCCTTTTTTCCTAGCCAGAAAACACTGTTCATAACTAAAAGTGATCAGGATTCTGGGTATCTTGCTTGAAATGACTAGGGGAAAGAAACCAGTAGCAGTAATAACACCAGCAGACACTTACAACGGCTTTCTGTGTGTGAGACACTGTTCTAAGGGCTTAAATATATTACTTAGACCATATGGCAATTTTGAGGTAAGAACTATTATTCCATGGAAATGGATGAAAAAAAGGGAGCACAGAGAGGTTCCGTGACATCCTGAAGTTACACAGCAAGTGAATGGACAAGGCCAGTTTTTGAGCACAGGCAGACTGGCTCATGGTCTGCGTTCCTTGCAATATTACATTGCCTTTTATATAAACAAATTGTATTTGTTCTGATTTTGGAGGATAGAACTTTAGGACAGAACTATAAAATACTGGAAGAATTTCTGTAAAATTCTCAAGATAATGAGTATCATCTAAAATCATTGAAGTAAAATTTTTGGTCACAGACAAGAGAAAAGAATAAATGACTCCATGAAATCTCTACAAACTGTGCTTTTTCATACCCTGTAGTATCTGGCTTCAATAAACTAAATGAAGCAACTTTATTTTTGTTTGTTACTGATCAAGATAGTTGGGTACTAGGGGAGACTGAATCACTGGATTAGATATGTACTGATAGTGATTTTTACAGGCTAATATTTGCCCCAAGGCATTATAGCAGGTTCAGACAATTATTTATTCATGAAGTAAATACCAGGACTTATGATCTAATAAACAATATTCCATTTTGGTGATAGAAAATATTTGTAGTTCATGACCCTTACGTCCTGTAGCCTCAGAAACAGGTCTTTAAAGTGCCTTGAGAGACTAAGCTTCATTTCTTGATGAGTAGGCTGGTCACCAGCCCTTTTTGGGTTGCACTGTCCAGCAGAAAGGGGAAAAAGAATAACAAGTGGTTGTAGGCATTATTCGAGCTAGTGGGGAGCAGCAGCATTGTGGCGCGGTTACACTGTTGCTCGTGATGGCAGCGCCCCATATCAGAGTGCTGGTTCGAGTACCAGCTGCTTCACTTCCAATCCAGCCTCCTGCTAATGTAGCCGGGACAACAGTGGATAATGATTTAAGTAGCTAGATCCCTACCATTCCTGGGGGAGACCAGGATGAACTCCCTGGCTCATGGCTTCAGCCTGGCCCAGACCTGACTGTTGCGGCACCATTTGGGAGGTGAACTAGGGAATGGAAGAATGTTCTCCGTCTCTGTGTGTATGTGTGTATGCACATGCGTGTTTGTTTCTCCCCTCTGCCCTGTACCCTCATTTTGTCTTTTGAATAAGTAACTAAATAAATAAATGCTTTTTTTAAAAATAAAGCTATTGGGCCTTTGCAGATGACTGAGCTCAAATATTTGAAGCATTTCCTTGCTTCTGTTCCAAGAGAACATCATGCATAACTGGGGTACATATTTTGAGAAAAATTATCTCCTCCACTGAGGATCACAAGCAAAATGAACCTGAAAGCTTCCTGATCACACACACAGAGAAGACTTTTTCTTGACTCATTCACTCTACATTGATGCATAAATTATTGGTCAATAAAATTTCTCTTTTTCTTAATCAACTTCCTGGTTCCTCCAACAGGGGCTGAAACATACCTGAAAATGAAAATAAAATCTAATGTTGTTTTCTAATTTTTCATCTGCTCTCAAGTAACAATTTTAGGTACTTGATTAATATTTTAATTTTTTAAGAGCAATGGTTGAAATTTCTCCTTTGCAGACTTTGTAGCTCTCTACTCTTATATAGAAGGGTGGAATTTCTAGACGCACTTCTGCAATGGAACCAGACGTAAGGAAACCAGATTTCCAACTCACTGTGGACTTTCCGGAGAGGCAAAGAAGCAGTAAAATATTTGACAACTATGCTGACTCCATTCTTTAAATACTTGGATTGGGTTATAGGATTAGAAATTTCTGAATATCAACTCTAAGTGTGCTATTTAATTTTAAATATAAACTAGAAATCTGTTCAGAACTTACATGTGTGGATTTTTGTTGTTTCATTTCTTTGTCAACTCCAAATCATCCAGTTTCCAGGCCTGGAAAAAAATATTTTTGGAGAAGAATCCAATGAGTTTACTAATGATTGGGTAAGTATAAGAATCTTCATGTGTTTTTGTAACTTAATTCACGAGGTATTCTAATCTCCAACATACCATGGCATAAATGGATGTTTGAAAGCCTTTCAATGTAAACAATATAATATACTTGAATTCAGGTTTCATTCAATTTCTGCCCCAGAATATCATGGCATTTAAGTTAGGAAAAGGTTGGTATCTTACAATAATTTGACATTTAAATAATAAGGGTTATTTAGCATATAAGTAATTTACAACTTAACCCTTGGGGGAAGTTGGGGAATCTAATGGAAGTAATCCTTTGTGGACCCCTTGAAGAGTCCATGAACCTTGGCTAAGAGTGTAGAGGAAGCATTGGCCCTGAAACACTTGAGCAGGTTGCCTCATGGTTTCTCTGGTTCTCAGAACCTCATTGTAAGTCCCGTTTACTCAGTGTCCTGTGAGCTGGGTTCTCCTATAGACCTCCACATCCCCTCCCTGCAGGCATTGAGAAAAATATCCTGGTCTCTAATTCATCACAGAGAAACATTTTTTAATTAGTTTGTTGAATTTTTTGTTTAATGATTGAAGAGGCTAAAATAGTGAACCTTAACAACACCGTTCATGTGACAAATCTTGAAATATCCAGAAAAACATTTACAAAGGAAAAAAAAATCTCTGGATTAACTCTGAAAATGTTTTCACTTCCGTCATGGGCTGTGTATTCAGATGCACTTAGCTTGATGGCATTTCATAAGAGAGAGAAAGAGAGAGAGAGATCTCATTTCAGGTAAAAATAACTCCTGTTGATCAACTATAAGAAACCTTGCATTTAAAATCCTCCATTCTGCTACCTCCTAAATAGCTATTTTAAGACGTCACTTATCTAGATTACAGGGTAAAAAGGCAGGGCACTCCCTGACTGCTGAGAAGGGTGCGGAGGGCAGAGGCGGGGCTGTGGGGGATGATGGGAGCACAGGACCAGAGAGCAGGAAGGCGTTTGGATTTCTCTGAATGTGATGGGGATGCACTGGCAGTTGGTAAGCAGAGGAGTGAAGCCATGTGATTTGCTCCTATAAACAATCCAATGACGTTACTGGAACCAAAGTAGGTGCTTGGGAAGCAGCAGTTGTTAGCATTATTTCCCAGCTTTCACAGTTTAATTCAAATTTGACTTTAATTAAATTTAAGTGAGAGTGAGCATTTCCTGCTAATTCAGACTCACCTTCATAGCAGCTTCATACTGCACTTTCCGAACTTCACTCATCACCTTGGGATTATGTTAGAGTTCAGCAGGTCTGGGTAGCGCCTGAGGCTCTGAATTTCTAACAGGCTCCCAGGTGACAAAGCTGCTGGTCGTTGGAATTGACAGAGTAGCTGGGAGTATTAGTCAGTATACCTAAAAAGCACTAAAGTGCAATGTTTTCATAATTTTTAAGGGATTGTGTGTGTGTGTGTTTCTTTTTTCCATTGCTGACACTTCTTGTTGCTATTAACTTGCCTATTTTACCAGTCTCTTGTCTCACTTCTGTGGAGGCTGGGAACCAGGTTCACCAAAGTTCTAAGCAACATGTTAAAGTGCAGGTGGAGCACCTGGACTTGGTGGCCTCTGGCTTCACCTGGGGAAGCAGCTTTGCTTGCGTCACCTTCCTCACGCAGTTTCCCAGAGGAGAGTGGCTTCCATGGATGCCACTCAAGTCGTACAGTGCCACTGCCTTTAAAGAGTCATCGATTTTGTCTTCCATGACTTAGCATAACAATCTGACATCAGAAGTGTCATGGAAGGAAGCAGAAGCACATCAGTGTGCTGATAGAACCTGCACTTTTCAATAACATTTAGACTTGGAACAGCATCAGAAGGCAAAAAAGTATATCAAGGGTTCAGGAATTTTTAACTTGGCTATGAGCTCCCTTCAGTTGGACACAAATTGGTGTTCACAAACATCTGGGGAGAAAGTCTTTGGGTTCCTGGAGCCCATCCCTCACCACCAAGGACAGGAGTGGCCACTGGGCATCAGTGACTTGATGAAGCCCGCCTGATGATTCTGGCATGATTCCCCAGGCTTAGGAACCAGTGGTATGGCTGTATTACCTGCCTCTAATCTAGGTGTACGCTCTTTGTTGTCCCACCATCTCCATTATTCTTTCTCCAAGGAAACTCTAGAAAGGTAACAGCTTTTAGTTTGTCTTTACTGCAGGGGAAAAGATTACTGTGAGGCTGTGTTCTGCTGAGGAAGAAACAGCAGAGCTGCTTAGCAAGGTGCTTAATGGTAACCAGTCGGCATCTGGAGCCTTAGCCAAAGTTGTTCATCAGGACGTGGCCTTCACTGATGCAACTCTGGATTCAGTAGAGATCAGCATTCCACAGGACACGTTAGGAATCTGGGTGGATCCCATAGGTAAGTATAGGAGGGTATATTTCATTTACTTGTTGCAATTTTGGGGGTGGTGTTTGGAAAAATGAAAATTGAGAGTGTAGTTTAATTCCCCTAGAGGTCATAATTTTTTTTTAAAGATTTATTTGAAAGGCAGAGTTACAGAGAGTAAGAGAGAGAATGACATCTGCCATCTGCTGATTCACTCCCCAGATGGTCGCAATGGCCAAAACTGAGCCAAGTCAAAGCCAGGAAGGAGCCTGGAACTCCATCTGGGTCTCCCAAGTGGATTGACAGGGGCCCAAAACTTGGGCCATCTTTCACGGCTTTCCAAGACACATTAGCAGGGAACTGGATGGGAAATGGAGCAGCCAGCATTTGAACCATATGGGACTCACCCATATGGGATGCCTGTGTTGCAGTCAGCAGCTTAACCCACTGCACTACAATGCTAGCCCCATTGTAGAAGTTGTTTTAAGTTTTAAAATGATAAATAAAGAGTCCAGGTGTATGTGTTACAGTGCATTGTGTTTTATATATATATGTGTGTGTGTGTGTGTCTATATGTTTATATATTCAATTATAAATGTATATACCCATATTTTTAACAGACGTGTATATACACATTGGTGAAGATACTTCAAAAAGTTCATGGAAAATAGAATTAAAATATAAGCTTTTTTGGTGCTAAAAATCTTAAAATCTGTGCATACACATAGTCTCCAAAAATTCATGAAAACACTAAACATGGACATCAAAATTTCTATACCCAAATCAACTTTTAATTCCATTTTCTGTGAACTTCATGAAGTCCAAACAGGTACACACACAAAGATGGATGAACTCATCGTTAGAAGACTTCAGGGGCCACACTCCTATCTGGTCCTTCTCTCCCTTACTGACTGGTTCTGACCACAGCAAACTGGAGCACAGCAGATTGCTGCCATGGGGGAGTCCAGGCCAGAACTTCTGGTGTCTATTATTATTATTATTATTATTATTTTTGACAGGCAGAGTGGACAGAGAGAGAGAGAGAAAGGTCTTCCTTTTTCGTTGGTTCATCCCCCAGTGACTGCTGTGGCCGGCGCACCATGCTAATCCGAAGCCAGGAGCCAGGTGCTTCTCCTGGTCTCCCATGTGGGTGCAGGGCCCAAGCACTTGGGCCATCCTCCACTGCACTCCCTGGCCACAGCAGAGAGCTGGCCTGGAAGAGGAGCAACCGGGACAGAATCCGGTGCCCCGACCAGGACTAGAACCCGGTGTGCCGACGCCGCAGGCGGAGGATTAGCCTAGTGAGCCACGGCACCAGCCCAGAACTTCTGGGTATTTAAAGATCTCCATGGGCCAGTGCCGTGGCATTAGTGGGTAAAGCCACTGCCTGCAGTGCCGGCGTCCCATATGGGCACTGGTTTGAGTCCTGCCTACTCCACTACCAATCCAGCTCTCTGCTATGGACTGGGAAGGCAATAGAGAATGGCCCAAGTCCTTGGGCCCCTGCACCCGCGTGTGAGACCCAGAAGAAGCTCCTGGCTCCTGGCTCCTGGCTTCGGATTGGCCCAGCCTGGGCCATTGCAGCCAACTGGGGAGTGAACCAGTGGTTAGAAGACCTCTCTCTCTCTCCATCTCTCCTTCGCTCTCTGTGTAACTCTGACTTTCAAATATAAATAAATCATAGAAAAAAAAAGATTTAAAGATCTCCCAGTTTTTAAGCTAGCAATTAAGCAAACAATCCAAAACATAGTTGAAGGTGACTTCTGAGCAGTCACTTTGTGAGCTGTATGTAAACTTTATCATCAACTTTTTGTCTTTGTTGTGGTAGGACTGTATCTATCACCCACTATCCTTAGCATTGCTGCTCTTTATTATGTTGAGCAGGCAAACTCCCCCACCTTTCCCATCCAATGGATTATATATAGAAACTAAAAGCCTCTCCTGGAATCTCTTATCTCTGGAAAATAAATGGTATCAGTTGTGATTTCTGAGATACAGGGATCTCTTGCTTTTTGGTTCCACCCTGAATTGATTCTAACTCTGGATCTTTTGCCAGGCGCATCCTCAACTGTGTGTTAGCTCACTGGATGTTGGCAGTCAGCTGCTGGCATATACAAGGGGTCTTCAAAAAGTAAATGGAAAATGTATGTCATGAAAAAACTGTCATAGGTTTCAAAATTTTGCACCAAAATAAACTTACTGTTTAATCAATGCCCTGTTAGGGAGAAACCTCCCTCTTTGGCACCACTGATATTTCACCTTTATTACCACTATCATTATCTCTTCCTTCTAACTTGAGGGACTTAATAATAACAAAAAGTAATTCCTGGAAGGAAGCTTTTCCATCTCACCTTGTACTTGTCCTCTGATTAGTGACAGTTCTAAAAAAATCCTACTAATTATTCTGAGTTAATAGTTTTCAAATGTATTTGACGTGGGACAAGTGGTGCTCATTATATGCAAGATGCTATGCTAGATGCTATAAACATGTCCTCCATTTTAGAGTTTTCATATTTTTAAGAAAATGAAATAGTAGCAGAAAAAATGACATACAAAAGCTGAAATAACTCAGTACAAATGACATCCAAATGTAAAACTTGATTAGTTACCAAATTAGTGACAAAGAGAAATGATACAGGACAAAGGTTATAGATGGATTCACCATGATCTTCAGATCTTCATCTGATTCCAAATACATTTGCTTCATTTTTCAGATTCAACTTATCAATATATTAAAGGCTCTACTGACATTAAATCCAATCAAGGAATCTTCCCTTCTGGCCTTCAGTGTGTCACCATTTTAATTGGTGTTTATGACATCCAAACAGGGGTACCTCTGATGGGAGTTATCAATCAGCCTTTTGTGACACAAGATCCAAAGACTCTCAGGTAAAAGATGAGTTTTGAATATTATGGTTTTTAGAACTCATGACCTCAGCTTTGCTTATTTTCAGATTTATCATTCTATGTGACATTGCCATGACTCAAGGGCTAGCTACACTGGAGTGCTCCCACTAAAAGTCCGCATGTTTGAATTAAAGGCCTTTTCATTTCCATTCTTGGATGTGGCGTCATTTCATTTAGTGTTGAGGGCATGCAGGTAGAAAGTTTAAAAGGAATACTATCTTGGAGAAATCATGGTTGTGGCACTGGGGATACAGCAAGCCTATTCCCTGTTCTAGAGAATCCACTCAAACCTAGGTTAATAGAATGGTGGTAACACTGCCTTCTAAAATATGTGGAACAAGATGGTACACTTACATGAGGGTGTTTCAAAAAGTTTATGGAAAATTAATTTAAAACATATATTTTGCTGTGAAAAATTAGAAATCCTTATATACTGGTTGGTCTTCAAAAGTTCATAAAAAATGTGCATTATGAAAAAACTATATAGATTTCAAATTTTTTTGGCACAAAAATAAATTTCATGAACTTTAAAAAAATAAATTGTTTATTTGAAGGCAGAGTTATAGAGAGGGAGAGACAAAGAGAGATCTTTCATCTCTGGTTCATTCCCACAAAAGACACAGGGCTGGTGCTGGGCCAGACTGAAGCCAGGAGCTTCATCCAGGTCTGCCACATGGATGCAGGGGCCCAAGTACTTGGGCTATCTTCCCACGGCTTTCCCAAGAGCTTTAGCAGGGACTTGGATCAGAAGTAGAGCAGCTGGGACACCCATATCGGGTGCCGTCATTGCAAGCAGTTGGCTTAACCTGCTGTGCCACAGTGCTCACCCCTGTCCATAAACTTTTGAAGCCCTCTGTGCATATGGTCAGTTGAACTTTTGTGTAATTGTAGCAGAAGTTCAAAACAAAAATTGAAAATTATCCAGTGAAAAGACCAGTATGGGTAGCCAGGATTAGAACCTGCCTGTGGGGCATCGCCTCATAAACGCTGTCAGCATCCCTTCCCCTACTGCCTCCTCCTCCCCAGCCTTTCCTCAGACTACTGGACAGAGCTTAGAGGATGCTCAGGGATTGTTGACTTTGATCCATGGCCTGTGCTTTGGGGTTGCCTCCAGGGCATGGCAGAGTCCAAGCAGAAGCAGCGGCTTCAGTTTTGTAAAAACTGAAATAGGTCATATTTCCCACTTATATAGGGCTACATATTTTTATTGAACTTGGAGTTGTCTCAGGGGAGTGAGAATTGTTAGTTCTTTAATAGTCATAATAGTCACCTCTGAAGTATTGATTATTTTCATTTACTCCTGCCTTCTTCCAAACCAAAAATATGTTTCTGTCGTCTTCAAAAGAGAAATTGTGCAGACAGAATCATGGCCTAGAAATGGAGGTGATCAACGAAGTAGTTACTGGCCCAGATTCTGCAGGGAGACTGCCTGGGTTTGAAGGCAGATTCTACCACTGACCAGAGGGGTGGGCCTTAGCAAGTTCTTACATTCACTAAGTTACCATTTTCTTCATCTGCAAGTAGAACAAATTACCCAGCATAGAACCCAAGGCAAGCACTGGTACATGGAAGGTGCAATAAAAAATATCATCTTTCTTGGTGTTAGATGCCAAAGTGGAACTAGTGACTCAGATAATGCAAGTGACCAAGCGAAGAAAAGCTTTTTATAAGAATCACAAAGATTGACAGTTTGGAGAGAACCTGTTTGTCTGTTCCTCCTTTTCCCCATTAAACTTTAAATGCCAAAGTGCCAATGACATTTAGGCCATGTTTCTGGAGGCCGGAAATTCCCACAGGTATTTTAATGTTGTCCTAGATCGATGCCAGTAGTGCAGTGACGTGGACGGCAGGCCAGCCCCGCTGCAGCGCTGGCAGCTGCGTGCCTGTGAGTAACTTTCAGAAATGAACTGGCGACGCAGTCTGTTTGCAGGCTTCGGGCATGGAGACTCACTCCTTCATGATGAATTGTAATTGTCTTTTTTCATGTCATTAAGTCTGAAAGCAGCATGAATCATGAAAAGCAAATGTGGTTATCACCCCCACCCACTGGACATTGTCTTCTACAGGTGGAAAGGACAGTGCTACTGGGGCCTTTCTTACATGGGGACCAACATCCATTCCCCCGAGCTGGCGTCTCTAAAGGAAAGAGGGAGTGCAGCAGGAACGCAGCAGCTCTGAGGCACGAGCCCCCCACCCTTCTCGGCCGTCATCAGCACCAGTGAAAAGGAGACCATCAAGGCTGCGCTGGCACGCGTGTGTGGTGATGGCATTTTCCGAGCAGCCGGGGCTGGTTACAAGAGCCTGTGTGTTGTCCAAGGCCTTGTTGACATTTACATCTTTTCAGAAGACACCACGTTCAAGTGGGACTCCTGTGCTGCTCATGCCATACTGAGGGCCATGGGTGGGGGAATGGTAGACTTGAAAGGATGCTTGGAAAGAAATCCAGACACGGAGCCGGACTTGCCAGAGTTGGTATACCACGTGGAAAACCCAGGGGCCACTGGGGTGGATCGCTGGGCCAACAGGGGAGGACTGGTCGCATACAGATGCAAGAAGCAGCTGGAGGCCTTCCTCAGCCTCCTCATCCAAAACCTTGAGCCTTGGGAGACACAGACGTAGATGGAGTCTGACCTCAGTGTCCACTTCAGTGGAACTCCGAAGCTGGTCCCCTTATCTCCATCTCTTGAAGACAGCTTTGTCCTGTTGGTGGTTAACAGCACCTTCCTCTGTTGAGGAGTGTTTTTCCATTTTATGGTCATGTAATGCTAAATTTCAATAAATGACATTCTTACAGCAATGTCTAAAGCCTTGCTGTGTGAAATCTTTATAATGGCTATTGTGCTTTTAGTGTTACTTAAACATTTAAGTAAAATTTAAAGAAGAAAAATATCCCATTCAATTAGTACGACTCTAAGTGACAAGAGAAACAGGATTTTATTTTCTGTCTTAAAGTGAAAACCTGCATTTTTTCGCCCATGGTGGGAGCATTGAGAACTGAGTTTATACGCTCCGTCTGCAGGTGAGGCAGAGGAGATAGAGCTCACTGCAGTTGTATGTTTGCTACGCTTCAAAAACACAGGTAGGCTTAGATATATAGAGATACCTCAAAAACTTTGTGGAAAGGAGGTTTAAAAGATGTGTTGTGTTTGGTATAAAGCCTGTGAAATTTGCATATGTTTTCATTAGTGCATTTTGATAAACTTGTTGACTTGCCCTCACACCTGGCCTGCATGTGCTGCGGCATGCTGTACTCAAAGTCAGCGGGGAGGCCAGCACTGTGGCAGCGCAGGTTAAGCTGCGGCCTCCAAGGCTGACATCCTACATGGGTGTCTGTCTGAGTCCTGGGTGCTCAGCTTCCAATCCAGCTCCCTGCTAACGCGCTTGGGAAAACAGTGGAAGATGGCCCAAGTGCTTGGGCCCTTGAACTCACGTGGGAGACCTAGAAGAAGTTCTTGGATACTGGCTTCAGGCTGGCCCAACTCTGGCTGTTGGAGTCATTTGGGGAGTTAATCAGCCAATGGAAAAACTCTCTCTCCTTCTGTATCTCTGCTTTTCAAATAATAAATAGATTTTTTAAAAAATGAAAAAAAAAAAATCAGTGGCAAACACAGACCACTTTTTATGTTCTCTTTAGTGTCCCTGGTAACCAGGCAGCACCAGCTGGCCAACTGGACCAAACCCTCAGCTCTGACTTCTTTTCACCCTACGCCCTCTAGGGGCAAAATGATGTTACTACAGATCCTGTATTTTCTACAATTATAAACAAAGGAATATTATTTTCCCATTCCTTAAACAATAAAATAAAATTGTATATGTTTATGATGCTTTCTATGATGTTTTGAAATAGGTATGCATAGTGGAATGCCTAATTAAAGCTAATTACATGTTTATTACCGCAACTGTGAAAACACTTAAAATCTCTTAGTTAATACCATAAGTAGTCATAACTATGGCATACATGATGTAGATAGATCTTTTAAAGAAAAGATTTATTTATTTGAAAGGCAGGGTGTCAGAGGGAGAGGGATAGAGATTTCCCACCTGCTGGTTCACTTCCCAAATGCCTGCAACAGCTGGGGCTGGGCAGGTGGAATCGCAAGAACTCCATCAGGTCTCACACATGGATGACAGGGAACCCAAGTACTTGAGCCATCATATGCTGCTTCCCAGGTTCATTAGTAAGGACCTGGATTGGGAGCAGAATAGCTGGGACTTGTCACCCCCTGCACAACACCAGCCTCAGTAGATCCATCTGTAAATCTTCCAAACTTAATCCTGCTAATTGAAAATTTGTGTTCTTTGATTAGCATTTCCCCAATAATCCCACCACACTAGCTACTAGAACTACTGTTCTACTCTCTGCTTCTATGAGTTCAACTTTTTTAGATTTCATATGTAAGTGAGATCACACAGTGTTATCTTTCTGTGTCTGGCTTATTTCACTTAATGTAATGTCCTTTGGATGAATCCATGTTTTGACAAGTGAGAATATTTCCTTTTTGAAAGGAGAAATAATATCTATTTATATCTATATACATATATATGCACACACATATGTATATATACTATATACATATGCACATTTTCTTCATCCACCCATTGATGGAAACCTGGGTTGTTTCTATACCTTAGCTTTTGTGAATAATGCTGAAGTGAATGTGGAAGTGCAGATATCCACACCTATCATTTTCTCAAGCTCTTTAATAGTATTTTGTTGCATACAGCAGATTCAGTGATTAATGATAGAGTTATAGTTTTTAAAAGTCTACCACTTTGCAGTTGATTGTGATCCCTTTAGTTGTATGTTCTTATCACTTAAAATCAATGTTTAAAATTAGACTGTAAGTAAAAGTGTTCACTCTTCACAAAACACATGAGAAACGAAAACTCAGGAGCCTCCCTCCTATATGCAACCCAAAAAGAAGTATATGTGGTTCAAGAAAAAGCATTGGCTGTCAGTATGAACAAGTTAGAACATGTGGATTATCGATAGCATGCTGTGAGAATAGTCATCTTCAACATGATCTAAACAGTTTCTAAAGGGGAAGTCAAACTGGATAGAAGGGAATTAAAATTTATATTTTAATTTAGATTGTGGTTACATATATGAAATCAAACATGAAGTTGGTCCTCTATCTACAGGTTCTGCATCTGCAGGCTCAACCAACCTCAGATAAAAAATAATGCCATAAAAGAGCTGCATATGCACTGAATGCAGACTTATTTTCTTGTTGCCATTCCCTAAACAATACAGTATAGCAACTACTGACATAGAGTTTACTTCATATTAAGCATTGAAAGTGATTAGAGATTACTTAAAGCGTGTGCATAGGGTAGATGCAAATATCACGCCATTTTACATGAAGAACTTGGCACCCAAGAGTGGTTCTGGAAGCAATCCCCCCTTTGCAGGAAAGCCAAGGCCCTTCCTTTAAGCTGACAGGGCTGCATTTTTTCCCTTCATAAGCCACACCCAGTGAGTATGAGTTCTAACCCACTATTCCTTAGAGGAAGAACCTAAAAATACCTGCAAAGCAGTTGAAGACATAATCATTCTGGAACTTTAGAATTTACCCTTTATTTTGATAGCTGTCTTATATTCAACAGTGATTTTTATGACTTAGTTTTTTTTCAACTCTTACCAAAATCTCCATTCTTCAGAATCATGTTCCATTATTTTGTATTATGATCTAACTGACTTAAACATTAAACGTAGCATTGGAATATAGACTTTTGGAAAGAAGTCAACAATTTGTGGTACCCAGATACGCAGACGTCAGGAGTAGCGGGTAAGAGTGGTTCTAGATGGGGGCCTTGTGGCATGCAGGTCGGGTGTCCTGTGCAGCACATTTCCCTGCCAGGTTACTTAGATGGGGAGTGGTGAAAACGCCTCATCTGCACATCAGTAAAAGCAGCCTTTGCAACATTCAAGTCATCATCAGTTCTCTTAGGCCCACAATGCAACCACTAGGGACACCCTCTCTTTGCTCCGCTTGGAAATATGCCAGAAATTACCCCTGCCTCAACACTCTGCTGCCCTTCACTTTGCTCCAGCGCCTCCAGAGCCTCACCGGGATTACTGCAAGAATCCCTTTTATTCTCAACACGGAAGCCATAGCGATCCTTTTCAGTGGATCAGATCCTGCCTCTGTTGTGTTCTAAGCCTTCCAAATGGTTCCTCAGCTCTCTCAGGGTACAACCCTCTTGTCTGTTAATGCCTGACTCATGCCCACTTCACCTTTCTTTGGTACTTTCAATAAATATACAGCTAAATATAAAACCTAAATTATTACTGTTTGCTCATTTTTAAAAAAGATTTATTTTGAAAGTTAGAGTTAGAGAGAGGAAGAAAGAGGGATCTTTCATCCATCCCAGATGGGAGCAATAGCCATGGCAGGGCCAGGTTGAAGCCAGGAGCCAGGAGCTTAATCCATGTGGGTGGCATAGGCCCAAATACTTGGGCCACCATGCTTTCCCAGGCCATTAGTAGGAGCTGGATTGGAAGTAGAGCAGCCAGGACTCGAACCAGCACTCACATGGGATGCCAGTGTCACAAGTGGTAGCTTAACCTGATGCACCATGATGCCAGCTCCCTTTTGTGATTATCTATTTCACTTAGGATAATGTCTTCAAATTCACCTATGTTGTAGCATGTGTCAGAATTCCTTCTTTGTTAAGGGTAAGTACTATTTCATTGTATGTACATATACCACATTTTGTTTATCCAGTCATCTGTAAATAGACACTTGGGTTGCTTCTACCTTTTGGCTATTGTGAATAATGCGGCAATGAAAAATGTGTATATAATATTGGTAGCAGTTTTAACATACAGAAGCATAGAAACCAATGACTAAGAAAGTGAAGGTGGGTAGTGCTATATGCCATGCCTGCTCACAGAAGCAGACATAAAATTTCTTTGAAACAAACACTAAGTATTTTATATGTATTCAAATGATTTGTATATAGTCTTAGAACTGTATTTATATCAAATAATCTGTACTACTAATATCTCCATTGTTTCTAAATGAATTCTGTAAATAGTCCTAGTGAATGCATCTAGAATATATTTTTTAAGGAGAGACATTGATGGCACGGTATGTTAAGCCACTGCTTGGGACAGCCACATCCTATATTGGAGTGCCTTGCAGCAAGTACTCGAGTCCCTGCCCTCCTCCACATGGGAGACAAATAGGGTCCAGGTTCCTGGCTTTGGCCTGGCCTAGCCTCAGCCACTGCAGCATTTGGGTAATAAATCCAATGATGATGGAAGAGCCTCTTCTCTCTCTCTCTCTCTTTCTTTCAAATAAATAAAATATATCAACATTAAAAAAGATTTTTCTTACACAAATTTTGGAATATTCCTCCATCTAAATCTAGTACTTATTCTGTAGCCTGTAATAACTCTTCTATTATTACTGTGCAACTGATGCATATAAAACAAAAAAGGTGTTTAAGCTTTATAATTTTGCTTAAAGAATTTTACTATCATCATCTTACCATTACCAAGTCCTAGAATAGTGAGAGGTAAGACAAAGTATCAGAATGCATCATACTTAGTAAAGGTAAACACTATGTCACAAACCCTCTGTTTCAGTTAAACATATGGCCACATGTTGTATATATAGTATGTTATAATATAAGAAGGCAAGATCACCTCTCTTGATAACTAGTAAAGACTGCTTACCACATAAGCACTTAGTAAACTTGTTTGGTAGCTCATGTTTTTGGTAACTTGCATACATTTCTAAGAATCCTTGTTGTCTTCGGACTTAAGTACACATGTTGGTGCTCAGTGCA